ATTACATTTCAGCCATGGACGACGAAATGGAGGTTCAAAACGAGAATGGGATGGAAGTTGAGCAGCCGACAACGTCTACGAAGAAGCAGAAACAGGTATTGCAGAAGAGATTCGGTAAACGTTGACATTAAGAAAGCAGCATACTTGTTAGTCCGAAAATTAAGAGGAACTATACTGTCTCCTTTTAAAAAGTTGTGGACGGAGAGTACCGGCTGCATTTTTGCGCTGTTCCTTCTTTATCTCCATTTTTGAGTTTTTTTTTTTCTGGAATCCTTATTTTGAGCTGATTAGGTTTCATCGATGAACATTCATTTTTCTGTAGTCCCCATCACCTTGCGGAGAAAGCAAAGAAATCTCACGCGTCCACATTCGGTAATAGAATCTACGGGTCTCATCCAGTAAGGGGGGGGGCATGTGGTGCGACAGTTCATATTGCATGAAGTAATCCACTTTTTTCAGGGGAGGGAAGCTCCGGGGTGGGTGTAAAAGTTTAAGCGAAATGGTTCACGCACCCCGGGGATTCCCTCCCCTTGCAAAAATTGGAATTTCTGTAGCCGGCAAGAACTGTCACACCACATGCCCCCCCTTACTGGATGAGACCCGAATCTACCTTGAGATATGAATGGTAAAAAACATTTGTAGTTCATGTTTTTTACTGTAATTTCGAACGAATGTCGTCGCTCAAGGAACTGATGTCGAATTATATTAATAATGATAAAGTTGGACATTCAAAACATAGTCATCGTTGGAAAATCCGTAAGTGATCCTATTTGAAGGTCTACATTCCTGGCGTTAGCCGAGCTCTGCGGGAAGGAGAAGAACTTGACTTCGATCCTGAAGCGTATAATATATTCTATTCCTTTGAAACCAGTGAGTCTTTGTCTACTCATTTTGCTTTGTAATGCATTTCTTTAGGAAGTAGAATGCTTTCACTGACTTTGGTGAAACTCGTTGCCGTAGTGCCCGTGCTGATGTGAGCGTTAATAGGCGTTTTTCCCTTTTTGCTGCTCTCTAGAACGAGCTGTGCATAATTCTTTTCTGTTCTGTCGCATCTGTCATGCTCGTCGTGCAGCGCTGCATTGGATAACCAGCAGCGCTATTCTAGCACTATAGAATAGGTGCTTTATTTGAATTTTGTCGGGATATGTAGATGTGACTACTCCTTTTCTGTTCTAACTCTTGCTGTGCATCAGGTTTGATCCAAAAGAGCACATTTTCCGTATTACTACTTGCTTCAGAACGTGAAGGTTCAGGGAGGCATCTATTCCCGCTTAACCCATTGACTTCTACGTTTGATGTGGTGCTCTTGAGAGTTTCCAAAAATTGATAGTAGGTAATAGCTTAAGCCTGCGGGTTCTGCACAAAGGGACCGCGCCACTAACACTTTCATAATACGCCGTGGGGAGCGCGTCGAATTCATAGCTTCGCTAGAGCAAGTGTGTGTTTCCTGAGGTCCCCGTCTGTATGAGTTTATATGGGAATATAAACATCCGGTGCTTTTTTCTGCTCTGTATTTGGCTTTGCGATGAATCCAATGCGAATTTTGAAATTGTGTCATGGAAAAATTATATTTTGCCTCTCTTTCGACATTATCAAGGAGGATAATGCGAGCGAGGATTTCCCATTAAAATGCTATATCGTGGCGGGAACTCAAGCTGATAAACCGAAGAATAATGAGCTCATTGTAATGGGGCTCAAGAATCTTAATCAACTTGAGGTTTGTCTTTCACTTACAACTTTATTACAAAAATCAAGCGTCTTCTTTCGCGTGGAAAAGAAGTCTTAGGTACAATCATTCATCATGCTTTTTTTTCTTTCGTTGGTCATCTGATCCGTGGTGCTTTAGCAAAAATTGTTGAGAAATTCCCATTTAATCTAGAACGACGATGAGGAGGAGGATGATGATGAGCTGAGTGACGACGAAAGCGATGATGGGAATAGTGCCAAAAAGGAAGCAATAATGCATTCAGTGTCAGTGTCTCACTATGGTGGAGTCAACCGAATCAAGGTATTCCTTTTCTAAAACATTGGCAGTCGTTCCATTAAACCAATCATAATAAAGTCTCTCATCGGTTTTGGAAGTTCTACCTCAATTCACCTACTAAAAATACCCCACCCCCCCCTCCTCCAGCGGGGATGCCTACCAAAAAACCTGCAATATCCTTCTCTTCATGTATCAATAGCAAATCACGAGGGTGGGCTTTGAATTGCGTACTGGGGGAAGGGGCTTATTCGTCTTAATATTTAGATCCCTTCCATGACATCATAAGATCAAGCAGTCAAGGAAGATTTTTTTCTCTGAGTTTCTGTATTAAGACTCAACGTCTTGGTGATGGAACGGTGTGTGCCGTGTGGAATGACATTGGGAAAGTTCAACTTTGGAATTTAACAAATGCAGTTAACGAATGTACTAAAATGTCTACCAAAGGCAAAGAGGAGAAGCAGATTCAAGTAGGTTTGGTGAAAATGTAATTTGGCAGGAGGACACTCTGCTCCTTTACTTCTGAAAAGTCTTATTGATTCAACCTTTTCTGAAACTGTTTCATTTCAAGGAGAAACCGCTCTTCTCTTATATCACAAAGAAGGAGGGATTCGCACTTGGTTGGTCGAAGCTTAAACAGGTGTTCCTTTGCAGAGCTTTTTGTTCATGATCAGTCTAGTTAGCAACTCTTTGCTGTGAATGAGATCCTACTTACTATAATATTATACATTTGAGGGAGATTTTGCCTCTGGAGATCAATCGCGAAATATTCACATATACAGAATGCATGAAGGTGGAACTTGGGTCGTTGATCAACGTGCTCTCAGTGGTCACTCGGGTAAGCTATACCTTGTAGTTGTGCTTCACCAGTGAGTCGAGTAATGAGTCGTGATGTTGTTATTGGAGGTGCGTGTAGTCGTTGATAGAGATCGGAGCTAACCGTTCCAATGGAAAAGCGGTGTTATGTGTAGTCCGTTTATTTTTTTATTGACCACGCCCTTCACCTCAGTTGCAACCTCTCGCTCCCTATTGACCGATCTGCTGACACTGTGCACCAAATCCAATCTGGAAGGAACCGAGCATTTGGCTCCTGTGTTACACCGCGTATTTCCTGTATTAATCCTGATCTAATCATGGGTCCTTTATGAAGGGAGAACGTGGTCATTGCGAAAGGTCGAAAATCGCTACTTGGCACGTACAAACAAGGGAGGATGGAAGTAAAATGCTGGTTCGATAAGGCTCGGTCGTTGCAGCAATAAAAGAATAAGATCACCCACTTCACGACTGGATTGAGGAATCTACAAAGAAGGGATTTTTCGGTACAAAAAGATACGAGGAATGGAGGGAAAGCGAATGAGCGCGAACGATAACACGTGGATTCCAGTGAACCGAAGGAGGACATCATGCACTCAATGACGCGACGACCTGTCACGAACGATAGGGCTGAACTGTGGAGTATGACAAGAGTTTAGCTAGGTCATTATACGACCATTAATGATTTGAATACGAGTTGTTTCCTCAAAAAGAAAGTAATTGGTGGGGAGCTTGAAGTTTGCACATGTTCAGTTTTGTTCCTGAGTCAGAGAGAAAAGTGAGAGAGTATGAGAGTGGAAGAAATCGTCCTCACTGTATTTCATCATTAAAAAGCTTTGTAGGATCCGTAGAAGATGTGCATTGGTCTCCCACAGAAGAAGGTTTGCTTGCTTCGTGCTCCTGTGATGGAACTATCAAGCTATGGGATGTGCGCTCCAGCCCAGCTGACGCATGTGTATGCACTGTGGAGAAGGTACTTTGATTACCAGAGCTATAAAGGCTGCTTCGTTGCTGTAGCTTCACATTTTTCCTCTTTTCTTTTTCTTGTAGAGGAGATTGCAGTTTTGGTAGTCGGTGTTTTGAAAAAACGGACATATGCTGAAGTTTTCATGTTTGTAGCCATACTTTGCGCTTGCTATTTGAAAATATTTTTGCGTAAATACTTGAAGGACTAGAAATTCCTCGTTCTTCTAAAACTCTTCTATTTCAACCTTTACATCGCTCATGCATAGGATTTGATTGTTCTTCAGTGAAATACTTAGGATCGCTTCTTTTTTTCCAGACTTACAAAAAACTGGACTCTCATATCCAGTCCATATGGGGTTCACAAAATTTGTGATCATTTACAGGCTCACAGTTCTGACGTGAACGTTTTATCTTGGAACTCGCATGAACCACTGCTGGTAACTGGAGGAGATGATGCCGAATTGAAGATCTGGTCTTTGAAAACAATACAGGTACTATTTTATGTTTACAGTGGGCCAACATTTCTTGATACAGCTCTTTTCTCTGATAGAATGCTATACGAATCGGATTGTTCAAGTATTGGTTTTTTCCAAACGTGGTGCTTCCAAACCCATGT